CATCCATCACCCATCCATGAATCAATCCATTCATCATGCATCCATCATCCATCCATGTCCATCCATCCATCCAGCTATCATATATCCATAGATCCATCCATCACCCCTCCATCCATCCATCCATCCATCCATCATCCATTCATCCATCCATCATCCACCATCCATCCATTCATCCATCCATCCATCCATTTATCGTCCATCCCATCCATCATCCAACCATCCAATAATCCATCCATCCACCATCTGCCAGTCTATCATCTGTCAATCATTCATCCATTTATCAGCCATCTATCCATCTACCTATCATCCATCAATCCAACATCCATCTATCCATCACCCATCCATGAATCAATCCATTCATAATGCATCCATCACCCATCCATGAATCAATCCATTCATAATGCATCCATCATCCATCCATGTCCATCCATCCATCCATCCATCCAGCCATCATATATCCATAGATCCATCCATCACCCCTCCATCCATCCATCCATCTATCCATCATCCATTCGTCCATCATCCATTCATCCATCCATCATCAGCCATCCATACATCTATTCATTCATCATCCATCCATCATCCATCCATCCATCCATCCATCCATCATCCATCTATCATCTACCTATCATCCATCAATCCATCATCCATGCATCACCCAATCCATTCATCATGCATCCATCCATCATTCATCCATCGATCTGTCCATTCATTCATCCATCCATCCATCCAGCTACGATATATCCATAGATCCATCCATCATTCATCCATACATCCATCAGCCATCATCATCATCCCTCCATCCATCCATCATCCATCCATCATCCATCCCATCCATCATCCCTCTATCCATCCATCCCATAATCCATCCCATATTCCATCCATCATCTGTCCATCTATCAGCTGTCCATCCATCATCTGTCCATCATTCATCCATCCATAATCTATCCATCATCCATCCATCCTTCCTAGCTTAAGCAGGGAGGCTTGTACATCTCTTTCCACAGCCACCTCTTCCAGCTCTTCAGGGAGGATTCAAAAACATTCCCTGCTGAGAGACATCTTGTCTCTCCAGTGTGTCCTGGGTCATCCCTGAGACCTCCTCCCAGTCAGACATACCCTGAACCTATCTAGGAAACCTCCAGGAAGCATCCTTAACAGATGTTCAAACCACTTCACCTGGTTCCTCTCCGTGTAGAGGAGCATTGGTTCTAAGTCTGTTCCCTATAACTGAACTTCTCACCCTTCCTCTAAGGGAGAGTCCAGCCACCCTGTGGAGAAAATACATTTCGACTGCTTGGATCTGTGTTTTTTTAACCAAAGTTTCAGGTTATGGTAGGAACGTAGACCAACTGGGAAACACAGAGTTTTCCTCATTCAGTGGTGCTTAAGTTTTGCTTTATTATGGAAAGCAAACTCCCTTTTAGAGTACAGTATTTGTAAACCTTTTAAATATTTTTCTAATTTTCATGTATCTTTTAATTTTTTTTAACACATTCAGCTTACCAGCATGTTTTGTTTCAAGGTACGCAGAAAAACTGGCACAAAATGGAAAATATTGTTAAGATGGCTTCTTCGGTGAGCTAACAAAATAAAATAAAATACTGTAAGTGTACCAAGTCTTTGTTGGCCAGCTATAACGTTTTCATGAACATAACCGAGTAGTTTTCATCGTCTAAGCTTGAGTATTTTTTGCCAACATTTATTCCAACAAGCAAACAAAATTAGGGGAAAAAGTGTGCATTTTACGTTTTTGTGATTTTATTTTATGAAAATCAGTCTGATCACAACCACCATGAATTCTAACCAAAAGTGTCCCTTTTGTTCATGTCTTCAGAGACATTTGGTGCTGGTGCAACAGCTGAAGCCTTTTAAACTTCTCAAGTTCATAAAGTCATTTATTTTTAACAATGCTCTTATTAATAATGTCCCGTCACTTTTAAGGAATTTCCTCATCGACTCATTTTAGTCTTAGAAAGTATTGTGTTGGATATTTAGACGTTCGGCAGCAATAAAAAAAAGTTGCCGAACCTGTTTTTAATGTGGTGATGTGCTGTTTCACACAAACCCTGAGCTGTGGCAGGTGTGTGACTAACTGTCGTATCCTTGTGTGACAGCATTTGATACGTTTTCTACAAAATATGCGACTACCTCATATAGGAACCAGACATGGTGTTCAGACCTGATTGTCTGGAGACGCTTTTCATTTCCTGCATCAGAACCCCTTTAATAGAAATAATCAAAGCAGCTTCATATACAACCCCTCCAGAAAGTTTAGAAGTTGTGTAAAATATAAATAAAAACAGACTGGAGGGATTTTCAAATCAATATTTTATTCACAATGGAACATATAAACATGTCAAATGTTTAAACTACGAACATAAAATCGTAATTTTGAAGTTTATGACATCACGTCTAATATGTTGGTACAGGACAAAGTGAAGCGTCCCCTCTTTATTGAACAGTCTGTAAACATCTAGAGCAGTAATGTCTCATTCTTGTGATGGAGGATTTTAGCTGTTCAGCAGTCTTGGGTCTGGTTTTGCTGCTGTTTCTGTTTCATGAAGCGCAAAATGTTTTCAACTGGTGAGTGGAACTGCAGGCAGACCACTTCAGCACACGGACTCTTCTGATATGAAGCCATGCTGTTGTAATGGATGCAGTCTGTGCTTTAGCATTGTTCTGCTGAACTAAGCAAGACCTTCCCTAAAGACAAAAAAATCATCTGGATGAGCACATATGCTGTTTTAAACCTGTATACGTATATACACCTGTATATATTATTTCTGTGGCTGCGGTAGCTTGGTGGTCAGTGCCGTGGTGCTGTAATCCTATGTTGCGGGTTCGAGTCCAGGTTACGTTGGGAATAGCATTCACCGTAAAACAACTGCCAAATCTGTCATGCAAGTTTGCTCGCTGTGGTAACCAATGAAGAAGGGAGCAGCCAAAAGAAACTATGTATTTTTTCTGTATTAAAAGTGCCTTTCCAGACGCCTAAGCTGCCCATGCCATAGGCATTGATGCACCCCTATACCATCAGAGAGGCATGCGCCGCTTGTTGATGACAGCCTGGATCAGGGGTCTGCAACTTGTGGCTCTGGAGCCACATGCGGCTCTTTGGTCCCTCTGCAGCGACTCTTTCAAGCTTTGACCAAAACTGACATAAAACTGAATTTTATTGGTTGTTATAACAACTAAAAAGACTAGTTGTAGCAGTGTTCCTGTAATTTATTTTGCAAATATATGAGTACTAGAACCATTACAAGGAGTAAAACATACTCACTTTCACTTTATGTTTTATTTCTTCAAAGTAGGGTACGTAATTTTTCTACAATAAAAAAAAATCACATAAGAATGCGTCGTTTATTGTTTTAGTTTTAGAAATTGCGCAAAAACTATATATTTTTTTCCTTCTTTACAAGAATCTTGTCGTTTATTTTGTCAGAATGTAAAAATATCAATAAATGTTACAAATAATTAGATATTTTTAGTTTTATAAAATCACCCCTACTGTCCAGAAAAGCGCCCTCCACCAAACTTAAAGTGGTCCGTGGGCCACCAGTTGAGAATCCCAGTTGCAGCAGGTGTTGTGGCTCCGGACTCGTTTAATTTAGTGAACGAAGGGGCAGAAATGGCTCTTTTGATCGTAAAGGTTGCAGACCCCTGGCCTGGATGGTCCCTCTCCTCTTCAGTCCGGAGGACGTGGCATCCATGGTTTTCAGAAATCATTTCAAAGTTTGATTCTTCTGACAACAGAAGAGTTTCCACTTTGCCTCAGTCCCTTAAAAACGAGCTTTGTCCGAGAGGAGACAGCTGTGTTTCGATTTTGGCTACTTCTTTGCACGATAGAGCTTTAATCTGTATTTTGTTGATGGCACAGTGAACAATAATAAATACACAATAATTTGTGGGAATGCTCCTGAGCCCAGCAATGTCCAGAACAGAGTCAGACATGTTTTTTTTTTTTTTTTAATTCAGTGCTGCCTGAGGGTCCAAAGATCGTCGTTTGAGCTCCGATTCTTGAAATATTTTAACAATATAGATAAAAATGCAGATAATGGAATATCTAAAGTCTTTTCGGTGAGAAATCTTATTCTGAAAAAAAAAAATCCACTATGCCTGTATAACCTCTGCCCATCTTTACTTCTGATAGATTCAGCCTTTTATTATTCCATTACACCCAGTCTTCATACTGACTTGTCACTTAACAGTAAATACCAAATGCTCCTGCTGTTTCTAATATTTACTGCCTGCTTTCAGATTTTTGCTGTGCCAACATTGGTACTTGTGTTGCTTTAATCAAAATTTTTTTTTAAATCCGCATTGTTTAAAATGGTACGGTGTTTTTTGTTTAAACGTTTAATGTGTTCCTTCCACATACAGGTTTATGACATTTGGAAATTATTGCATTCTGGTTTTAGTTACATTGTACACAGCATCACAACTTCTTTGTAACTGGGGTTGTACTTAATGTCATTTAAAGTTGTGTTTAAATTAAAAAACAGTGAAGTGGGTCACTCCATTCTTCTCCTATGAGTAAATTGTCTTTTTCCGACAGTTGTCTGTATTGATTCGACAAACAAAGCAACGATCCAGCAGCTTCCCACAGTCAGCTTCCAACCATGGATGAAACACAGCAGCGCTGAGTAATCACAGATAAGTCGATGCCCTTTTTCAACTTATCATCAAGTTACTCAGGAGAGCAAAGCCACAAAAACACCAGCGGAGTAAAAAAAAAAAACCCAACTAATTAGATTTAACTCCAGCACCATCCAGGCGCTCACAGGATGGTTCCAGCAGAAACAGAAGAACACATGATCTCTTACCTGCTGAGAAGTTTTGGGGAACAGCGGCTCACTGGGCTTGCTGAGCTTCCCTGCAGACCCCTGCACTCCCCTCTCCCCTCGACTCATGGCTGAGAGGCTGTGCGTGAGGCGGCAGCTGTACCTCTGAGGCTGTGTGTGCGAGGGAGTGATGAAGTGTGTGTAACTGGGACTCCTGGTGTGAGCCAGAGTGGCCTGCCACTGGGAGGTGCGTGGCAGAGGCTGGAAGTGGATGTGGCTCTGACTCCGAGCGCTGTGAGTGACAGGGAGCTCCTCCTGGGCCCCTGGGACAAAGACTCTGCCACCTTCTGCCGCCATTCACATGCCGCTGTTTATACTCTGGAAAGAAGCCACACACACATTAAAGAGAGGCACTCACCTGCTGACAGACAGGTATGCAACCACAAGAATGCAGGCGTGTACACAAACATGTATGAGCGCAGACGGACCATGCAGACTTTAGCTTTTTGCAACAAAAATGATAAAGATATGGTGTGGGACCATTTAAAGATCAAAACAGACTGAAAATCAATAATTTGTTCTTTTGAGGAGGAGCAAGCAGGGAGCAGACAATGTCCTGAGCTGGAGTGTTCTCCTCCTCCCCTCCTCCTCTCTATCAGGGAGCATCCCTCTGTGCAGCTGGAGGAAAACATGGAGCATCATCTCACCTCGGAGGGATGATGGCGGAGGCAGCCGCCGCTGGTCCAGGTCGATGTGAGTCAGTCTGCTCGGCAGGATGAGGAGGAGACGGTCTGCGCGCGAGGATGCTCTCCTGTCCTCAGCCGTGACGGAGCTGCGCCCCGCCGTGGCTGAGCACGACGCGTGCGTGAGCGCGCGACACGGGATTATGCTATGGAGATAATCTGACGTCAGAAATGTTCTTTTGGATTCGGTGTTGTTCTTTGTTGTTGTTGTTTTGAAAGATGGTGATTTTAAAAAATGTGTTTATTTTTACTCTGTGCTTTAATGAAAAATATGAATTGCAACAGTTTGAGGTAAAGCTAAAAATTCAGTCACAGTTCTGAGCTTTGACCTGTGGAGAGGCCTAAATAATAAATATCTTACCTGTTGCAGATAGCTCCTTAACAAGGCCGTTTGTGTGTGTGTGTGTGTGTGTGCGTGCGTGCGTGCGTGCGTGTGTGTGTGTGTGTGTGTGTGTGCGCGCGCGTGTGTGTGTGTGTGTGTGTGTGTGTGTGTGTGTGTGTGTGTGTGTGTGTGTGTGAAACCGAAACATTTCTGGGGCATTTTGCCCGTTTTTATAAATAACAAACCGTTTTCCATGGCGCTAAAATTCTTTAATTCCAGGTTTTAGAAGGTATTTGGAAACACCTGGCATCGGTGTGAAATCGTGCATGTGCACTACGGACAGCTGTAGTCAGTTTTTCTGCGCCTTCACGAGAAGCTGGACAACAGTAACAATGGCAGATAGCAGAGTGCTGTTTGTGCTGATCCCTCTTGTTTATCAGAGCTTCAGACACAAGCTGCACCTCGTCAGCAATGTCTGTGAACTCACCACTTAATGAAACCGTTTTCTTGCATAAGACGTGTATAGTCTCAGTGTGTTGTTGAACTACAAAACTCACAGCGCCATCTAGTGACCTTGCATAAAAACTGAAGCTGATTCAACGTATTTGCGATCTTGTCTAAACGGCGATCACAGTGTATGTAAACATAAAATTTTCACAATCAACAATGGAAAATCTTTAATGTTTTTAGAGATTGTTTGCGCGTTAACGGAGTCTAAATGGCCTCCATTTGGAGAAAGTTTCAAATGTTTGTATTTGTATTTATGTTCATTGTGTTTATAGTAATGGACTCCAAAAAAGTTCAATCTGGTCCTCTGGACATTCAAAAAAACAAAAAACAAAACAAAGCAAAAAAATCTAGAAACGTTTCGTCTCTCATCCAAGAGACTTCCTCAGTCTGAGGAGCTGTATTCAGCTCAGTCTCTTAAATAGCACCTTCTCAGAGTGGATCAACCAGTTTGCTGCTGACAACCAAAACCAGCTGATCACATGCTCAAGAAGGACCATCAGCCTAACAATGGATCATTAGCACACTGATGGCTGTTTACTGTTCAGAGAGGGCTGAGTGATACTAGCAATCACAGCATTGTAAGAGGGGGACAGTTGAACCCGGAGGCCTCCACCCCTGTTTAATGATGGACGATTTCTTTTCACAAAGATGGCCTCCTTTACTCCTCTCTCAAACCATCGTTCCTCTCTGTCCAGGATGTGAACATCTTCATCCCTGAAAGAGTGACCGCTGGCCTGGAGATGAGTGTAGACCGCAGAATCCTGGCCTGATGATGTTGATCTTCTGTGCTGGGCCATCCTTTTGGCCAGTGGCTGTTTAGTTTCCCCTATGTAAGACTGATCACAGCCCTCCTGACACTGAACAGCATACACAATATTACTCTGTTTGTGCCGGGGGACTGGATCTTTGGGATGAACCAGTCTTTGCCGTAATGTATTTTGGGGTTTAAAAGCCACTGGGACGTTATGTTTAGAAAATAAACGTCTCAGTTTCTCTGATACTCCCTCAACATATGGAATGACCACTGGTCTGGGTCTGGGTTCCTCCTTTTCACCTGTTGGCTGACTGGAGTCCTGTTTGGGTTTCTTCTCTGCTTTCAGGAAGGCCCAGTTAGGATATCCACATTGCTCTAGAGCCTGTCTTGTGTGGGATTTCTCCTTCTGCCTGGCTCCTGAGCTAGTGGGGACGCTGTCTGCTCTGTGATACAGAGTCCTGATGACTCCTAACTTGTGCTCCAAAGGGTGATGGGAGTCAAACTGCAAATACTGGTCTGTGTGGGTGG